GGGGGGGGGGGGGGGGGGGGGGGGGGGGGGGGGGGGGGGGGGGGGGCAGATTCGAGAGTATTAAAGAGGAAGCATAGCTGACTTTGTGACTGAATGTAGAGCCAGAGGGAAAATGAAGGATAAACAGGACTCTGAATTGGGTGGGAATAGTTTCATTCTTTCATAAGCTATACAAGGAAGAGATCTGTGAGTCTGTTTTGAATGTACTGGGTTTGAGGTACCACCTGTGGGTAGGCAAGAGGGGCTTTCCAGGAGGAAGGTAGAAGAGAAGATGTATGAGTCCATCTTTGTAGTGGCAGCCTGGACTCGCCTTTATCTGGTGTCCTACAGGAAAAGTCTGAGCCCACTAGTTTGCTCTGGCCTATGAGACAGTCTTACCCAGAATAAACAAATGTCAAAGCAATAATAGCTGGCATCTCCCAGGGACTTAGTGGATTCCAAGCACTTTAAGTAAATTCTGATTAAATCCTCACCGAAAACCTAGAAACTACCATCATCATCATCCCCACTTTACGGGAGGAGTTCTTTAAGACACAGAGCTTACCCTGCCCTAGGCCCCACCACTAAGCAGGGAGGAGCTGGGATGTAAACAGGATGGGAGTAGTCTGCCCTCAGACCCCGTGATGGTAACCCTGTGATTTTAACCCACCCGGGGTGCTTCTGAGACAGCTGCCGCTTCACAGACGCACCCAACCCTCCCTATGAGCCTGGCATCATCCCCAGAAGCCTGCGGCTGTGTTCCAGATGGGTGGAAGCCTGGGGCCTCCAGGTTTTAGCCCTCCTGTTATTAGGAGATTAGCAAGGGGTAAGCCTGTGCATGCTACCTTTCTTCTTCAAAAGACATATCACTTTTAAAGAAACAAAACCATGTTGCGGTTTTCTAAAGCAGTGTGATCCCTGCCAGCCTTTCTTAGGACTTGTGAGAAAGACAAATTCTCAGGCACCTCCCCACACTGACTGAGTCAGAAGCTGGGGGTGGGGGCGAGCAGTCTGCTCAACAAGCCCTGCAGAGGCTGCTGATGCCGCGGAAGCTTGAGGCCTGTTCGTTGTGCTCTTAGGTTCTCGTTCGGCATGTTGGATTTTTGGTTGGGGATTTTTAGAAAGCAAAATAAGCTATGGACATTTTGGATGGATTTACAAAGGGAAGTATCTAATACAACTCTTATTTGTTTCTACCAACAGGTCAGCTTAGACTCCCGAGTAAGAGAAGTCATCAACAGAAACATGGTGGAGCCCTCCCAACACATATTCGATGACGCTCAACTTCAGATTTACACCCTGATGCACAGAGACTCATATCCCCGGTTCATGAACTCGGCCCTCTATAAGGATTTGCTTCGGTCCTTATCTGAGAAATCCGTGGAAGCATAGGATTTTCAAATATATTTATTATTAATAAAATAATCAAAGAACTCATGGACTATGTCTAGCACAGGGAATTTAGAGGTAGTTATATCTTCTGCTGGAGTAATACTCGGGCTATTTTAATAACAGATGCTTCCTTGACTGATGGTTATATATTCACAATGTAAACTGCAGCCACCTTTAGTGATACTTTGAGAAAAAATGGGATATGGCTGTTTTAGAAAGATAGTATATCTACATTTACAATAAAAGTAGCATGTTCTCAATGGCAGAGGAGACACTGGAAGACTCCATGCTGCCTGGAACATGAACATCCGCAGGAGCAAACAGGTCCACTTTTGTTCTGCATGAATTAAGTAACCGATTACTCTCCCTCTGAAAGAAAAGACATTCAAGTGTTTCTCAGCTATCCCTTCCATCAAGCTCGATCTGAATACTTCCTTCTCAATGCCATTACAGGATCCAAATTCACGTTTTATAAAGATGTGACCACTGCTTGTAATAATGGTATCCCACGTTGTCTTAGAGTATGTACGTATGTAGATACATGTATGTGCATGTGTATCTACACATGGTTAATGAAAGCACCATGCTCTTAAGTGGATTAGTCTCCAAGTGTTTGTTTGGTAAGAGAATCAGTGCTTAGAAAATTCTTTTGTTAATAAGAGTTACCGTTATTTTATTATCAGAATTTGCCAACCTAAAGAATGAATTTTTAATTTCACAACTTGGTCATGTTCACAACAAAACTTTCAAATAAGCATACTTTCATTTTTATTATTGAAAGAAATATGGGCATTTTCACTTTGAAAAACAATAAAGCACAAAACTTTTATCTCAATCTTTTTTTTCATATGTAAATATTTGGGATATATAAGATTAAATAGGGATACATGCAACATAACTTTTAGCTCCCAGAGTAGGGTTCCATCTTTAGATCCCGCTGTTTTTATCATAGGTAAGTAGAATAACTTCATAGCTTATAGGTAAAAAGACTAGTTTGTAGACCTAAACCATCCTGAAGAAACCCATCTCAGTGAACGGGAAGATGGCCAAAATCTGGAATGACTCGTGTGGGCTAGAAACTCATTTGCGGGAGGCCCCTCCATGCTTCAACTGCATATGCAGCAGCTCTCTCTGTCGTGCCCTTCACCTGGACCTTCAGCAGCCTGACGGTGCCCTCATTACTCAGCTCAAGCCCCACACTAATGCCCCCTCCCTCATTCTCGGTAAACAATCTCACCTGCCACTTTACTATAAGATTGTGTCCCTAACCCTCTCAGCCTCCTGTGTAACCTGTAAGTATGTATACAGATCAGCATCTGTTCTCTCCTCTTTCAATCCAGTCCTAGAGAATAATGTGTTCTTTCCTTTTTCAAGGTCTCAGTCCCTTAACATGCTTTTGATTCTTTGTCTTCCAATCTCATTTTTCACAAAATGAAGAGGATATAATTGTAAGACACAAACCCTGCCCCGCAGTAGTTTACATTCAAGTAAGGAAGATAGACATGTCAAAGGCACCCAGAATATAGTGTAATAAGTACAATAACACGGGAAGAGTCTTGAAGGGTTATGGAAAGATTTTGGCGATGGCGGGCCCCAAAACTAAAACCTATAGGACAAGAAGAGTGTGTATGTGTTGGGGTGGGATGGTGTGGAAAAGAATCTATATACAATTGCAGCAATCCCAAATGAGTCCATTTATGGACATGCTGAGTATGAGGTAACTAAGTGTAAGACACATAAAAGGAGATGTCAAGAAACCAGTTGGATGAGGGACCTGGGTGGTTGAGATTCTAGGCAGAGTATTGATTTGGGAGTCTTCGGCATACAGATGCATGAGATTGCCCGAAAAGTTATAGCATGAAAAGAAAGCTGAGGGTAAATCCTTGCAAGGATGGGCAGAGAAACAAGAGTCCCAGAGGATATTTAGAAGGATTCACCTCGTCAGTACAGGTAAGAAGGAAGTCGGGGGCATTGAGATTGCCCGAAAAGTTATAGCATGAAAAGAAAGCTGAGGGTAAATCCTTGCAAGGATGGACAGAGAAACAAGAGTCCCAGAGGATATTTAGAAGGATTCACCTCGTCAGTACAGGTAAGAAGGAAGTCGGGGGCATGATATGGCAGCAAATGGACAGGAGTGTTCTGAGGGAACAGTGGTCAGCAGTGGTAAATTAAATCCTCTTACTTTAGAGCTGTACGCCCCATCGATTTTCCCCACTTTCCTGCATCATCAACTTCACCTTGGCTTTTTCCCACACCATGAGGATGCTTGGATTTCCCAGGTAAAAACGAACCTGTGTTCCATTGTCACTGCTGTCTCTTCCTTTGTCACCAGACTTTGCACAGCAGTCCACACCCGCTGTCTCCATTTCCTCATCTCCCCATTCACACCTCGAACCGCTAGGTGCACAGAACTGCTCTCAGCAGGCCTCCAGCTGCCCAGACTAAAACACACCGTCTTCCCAGCCTTCTCTCAGGAGACACCCAGCCTGCTGACGTCACAGATAGCTCCCTACTTGAACCGCTACTTCCCTGCCTCCTGGAGCTCTCTCCTCGTCCTCCACGTTCCCTCTCATCTCTGTCCGTCCCCGTCCCCAGCAGCAGAGCACAGCAGTTAAGCATTTGGGCTCTGGGGCAAGCCGTTCTGACACTTCCACTGATGGTCTGGCAGTGGGGACTGACAGCCTTCCTGGGCCTGTTTTCTCATCCCCCAAAATGGGGATAATAAAGGTCCCTTTCCCTAGCATTGCTGTGAGAATCAAAACTAAGCCGTGTGAAATACTCATACAGTATGCATTTTACTACATGTTAGTTGTTGCTATTATTACTTGCCCATTAATGTGATGGCCCAAAGGTTTGGGCTTCAGCTTACTTTTCTCACTAATCTATACGCTCTCCCTTGGTTCTCATATACCCTTTTCATTGTCTAAAGTACCTACCTACAGATGGCCAGTTAGCTTGGTTGGTTAGAGCGCGGCCTTGTAACACTGAGGTCAAGGGTTCAGATCCCCTTACTGGCCAGCCACAAAAAATACATACCAATATACTGATGGCCACCAAATTAGGATCTGGTCTAAACTTTCTCAACTTGTGATCAGCTGCCAGTTGGACATCTCCACTGGTATATCCCATAGATGAGTGAAATTCACCCATTTTGATACTGACATCACCCCACTGCCTCCCCACCCTCCAAGATGGCCCATGCCTGTATCCCAGTCACCCAGCCAGCCGTCTAAGCTCTTATGTGGGTGTTAACTTTGTTTGGTTTGGCGACTGGCTGGTATGGGGATCCGAACCCGTGACCTTGGTGTTACAACATCACACTCTAACCAACTGAACTAAAACGTTTTTTTTTTTTCCTTCTCCTCTTCCCAAACATGACTACCAAGCCTTGCCAGTTTTACCTCCTAAATGCTTCTCATGTGTCTCTTCTCCTCCCTCTTCCTTCTGACCCCATCATTTCTCACTCTCCTGCATCATAATTAATATTTCCCCTTAGATTTGCAAAACTCAAAAGAGTTGAGAGTATCCACTATTGGCAACATTGTCAGAAAATGGGCCCTTATACATGTTGTCAAGTGGGTAAACTAGTAGTGTGACTTTTTGGAATGTAATCCGGCAATATCTGTCATTTTTAATGTACCTATCCACTAACTGAGCAATTACACATCTAAGAATCTATCCTATAGTTAAAAACAAAAAAAAGTAAAAAAAATTTAAATTTTAAAAAAGAACTTATCCTACCAAAACATCAACTGTAAACAGATATATGCATACGAGTACTCATTACAAAGCACTGTTTATGGTTAACTAAAACTACCCATTGAGGAATAGTTAAAAATGGAATGGTATATACCTATAGACAACTCTATAGTTAAAATGAATGTGATACATCTATATGGGCTGGCAGGTAAAGAGTTCTAAGACAAACTGAAAAAAGCAAGTTGTACAGACACATGAAAACATGCTCAACATCACTCGGCATTCGGGAAATGCAAATCAAAACCACTTTGAGATACCACCTCACTCCAGTCAGGATGGCTAATATCCAAAAGACTGAGAATGATAAATGCTGACAAAGACATGGAGAAAAAGGAACCCTCCTTCAACTGTTGGTGGGACTGCAAAATGGTGCAGCCTTTATGGGTAATGCTATGAAGGTTCCTCCAACAATTACAGATAGATCTACCATATGACCCAGCTATTCCACTGCTGGGTGTATACCCAGAGGAATGGAAATCATCATGTCGAAGGGATACCTGCACTCCCATGTTTATTGCAGCACTATTTACAATAGCCAAGAGTTGGAACCAGCCTAAATGCCCATCCCTGGATGACTGGATAAGGAAAATGTGGTATATCTACACAATGGAATACTACACTGCTGTAAAAAAGAATGAATTACTACCACTTGCAGCAACACGGATGGACTTAAGAACCACATATTCTCTTATACGTGTGAGCTAATAAAAATAAATATACAAACAAATAGGGGGGAAAAAAGACACAACAATCACAATAATTCCTTGAACTTGTTAAGATAAGTGAACAGATATGACGTTAAGAGGGGGAGATGGAGGGCCAGCCCAGTGGCACACTGCTACAGTGCGCCGCTTGGGAAGCGCGGTGGCGCTCCCTCCGAGGGTTCGGATCCCACATGCAGACCGGTTCCCGCTCACTGGCTGAGCGAGGTGCGGGAGCAACGCCAAGGGCTGCGATCCCGTTGCCGGTCCCAGTCCGGTACGGGGGCAACACTGAGGGTTGCGATCTGTTGCCAGACACGGAAAAAGACAAAAAAAGAAAAAAAAAAAAAAAAAAAAGAGGGGGAGATGGAGAGGGGCAAAGGAAGAATTGGTAAAGGGACACGAAAATCAACTACATTGTATATTGATAAATTTAAAAACATAAATAAAAAATAAAATTAAAAAAGAAAAAAGCAAGTTGTAGAATATTGTATTAATCTGTTTCTGTTGCATATAACTGAATACCTGAAACTGGGGAATGTATAAAGAAATGAAATTTATTTCTTACAGTTTTGAAGGCTGGGAAGTCCTAAGACCAGGGAACACAAATGGTGAGGGCCTTCTACAGCAATGCAGGGTGTCACTTGGTGAGAGAATGGGCTGAGCAACAGAGAGCTAAGCTTTTCACTAGCTCTCTTTATAAAGCCATCATACCACACCCATGACCACCCATTAAACCATTGATGGATTGATCCATTCATGAGGGTACAATCCTCACAATCTAATCACCTCTTAAAGGCCCACATTTTTCAATTACCATAATAGGATTTCCCACCCTTTTAACACTGTTACAATGGAGATTTAATTTCCAATACATGAACTTTTGGGAGCACATTTATTAGTTTATTGAAATATAATTGATTATATATTTCTGGGGTATACAGTTGAATATCAATACCTATGTACAATATGTGATGATCAAGTCAGGATAATTAGCATATTTATCATTATAAAACAAAATATTTTTGTGTTGAGAATACTCAATCTCCTCCTCTTCTAGTCATTTGATAACATGTAGTACATTAATGTTAATTATAGATGCCTAGCTCGAATCTACATCAATAGAACTCATTTTTCCTGTTTTGTGCCCATTAACCTATTTCTTATTTCCCCTCCCCTCCTCTTTCCTGCCTGTAGTAACCACAGTTCTGTTTCTTCCTTCTAAAAGTTCAATGTACTATTAGATTGTTCTTTTTCTTTCTTTTTTTTTTTAATTGCAAAAAGAGCTCTTAAAAATGAATTAGAAAAAAATCTAAGCAGAAATTTGGTGAAGGAATGAGCAGGTGAGTCACATAACCCAAAGAAACACATGTGGCTAATAATTATATTCTAAAATCTGGTTGCAGGTGGGGGTGTGGCTGGCCCTCGGTTCTCA